TGGACAAACAAGTGTCCTTGTTTAGAGTGGTCAAACATCTCCTGGTAGCTATTTCAGATTTACTGGCATTAGGAACATTCTTTCCTCCTTTACTCCACTAAGATAGCTAGCAGAATTCTGGGTTTCTTCTGAGGACATTCATGTTCCCCCAAAATACATACTTTAATTTGTGTTCATTAGTAGCTAGAGAGTCTGTGAGAGTGATTATGGTACATTTTGCACCCAGCAATTATAGTAGACACAGAAGGATGGCTTCAAAAATTTGTGGGGAAATGGAATTAAAAGATGAAATTTCTCCATGAACTTTTTGAAGTGTTCTTGTATAATTAGTATGTCAATTTTTTCCTGGAGACCACTTCTATTTGAGAAGGTTACCATGTGCATACAAATACAGATTTTTTTAAATTGTGCTAGGTGTTTGTTATTGTTAAATGCCCTTGAGTTGGTCTGACTCTTAGCAATCTACACAGGGTTTCATAGGCTTTAAATCTTTGTAGTATCAGAAAGCCTCATCTTTCTCCCATGGAAGGCTGATGGGCTCAAACTGCTAACCTTTGGTTTGCAGTCCAGTGCTAATCATACAAAGCCACCAGGCTCCCAGTCATGCTAGGTAGTACTTAAAAAATATTTTAAAATCAATTTCTATGGGCTATTTTTGTTGTTATGTGATGGCAAGTCAGTTCCAATGCATAGCAATACTGTACAGTTTTCTGAAGTTTGTAAATTTTTGTGAGAGCAGAAAGCCTTGTCTTTTTCCTGTGGATTAATTGGCTGTCTTGAACCACTGACCTTGTGGTTCATAGTCCAGTGCTTATCCTATAGAGTCACCATGCTCTTTTATTGGCTATTGGTAAGCAATTATCAATGTAAAGATTGTTATCATTAACATAAAGTAAAATTAATTTGTGAAAGAATAACGATTTGATAAGAGTATTGCAGAATGTAAAATAATAAAAATAATCCCTTCTGTACCCTAAGTTAATACCATTTCATTCTAATTCTTTCCAGGATTGCAACCCTGAAATTTGTGATTAAAAAAATATTTAAAAGTATTAATAAAATAGCATTATTTTACTCTTTAATGTTTTCCATAGTAAGTGTTATTAATAAATATACTTGCTGTTATTAGGTACTGTCAAGTCAATTCTGACTTTATAGCCTTTCCATGGAGCAGCTGGTGGGTTTGAACTGTTGACCTTGAAGTTAGCAGTCCAGAGCTTATCCTATGGCACCACACCAGGACTCCAATAAGTATACTAAGTGAGAACAGTTATATAAAGAGTTTAATGCCTGTTAACCCATTTAATACCACATCAATTCCAACTTCAGAATATTATTATTTCTGTGGTCTATGGATGATATTTAAAATATTTAAAACATTTAACCACAACATGAATGGTTTAAAATTAAGAAAGGTATGTGGCAAGGTTGTATTCTTTCACTATACTTATCCATCCTGTATGCTGAGCAAATAATCTGAGAAGCTGGGACATATGAAGAAAAATGTGGCATCAGGTTTGGAAGAAGAAGACTCATTAACATCCTGCGATATTCAGATGATTGCTGTAAGTGAGGAGGACTTAAAATATTTACTGATGAAGATCAAAGAGCACAGCTTTTGGTATGGATTACATCTCAATGAAAAGAAAACAAAAATCCTCACCCCTGGACCAATAAACAACATTCTTATCAATGGAGAAATGATTGAAGTTGTTAAGAACTTCATTCTTCTTGGATCAACTATCAACACTCATGGAAGCAGCAGACAAGAAATGACATGATGTATTGCATTAGGTAAATCTGCTGTACGAGACCTTTTTAAAGCGTTGAAGAGCAAAGATGTCAACTTGAGGACTCAGTATTTTCAATAACCTCATATGCATTAGAAAGCTGAACAGTGAATAAGGAAGACCACAGAAAACTTGATGCATTTGAGTTGTGGTGTTGGAGGAGAATATTGAATGTGTCATGGGCTGGCAAAAAGAACCAACAGATCTGTCTTGGAAGAAGTGCAGCCAGAGTGTTCCATGGAAGCCAGGATAGCCAAACTTTGCCTCTCATATTTGGAACATATTGTCAGGAGGGACCAGCCACTTTAAAAGGATATCATGTTTGGTAAGGTGGAGGGTCAGAGAAAAAGAGGAAGACCCCCAACGGGATGGATTGGCAGAGTAGTAGCATCAATGGGCTCAAGCGTGGCAACAATTGTGAGGTTGGCCCAGGACTGGGCAGTGTTTCGTTGTGTTGTGCATAGGGTCGCTGTAAGTCAGTAGCAACTCGATGGCACCTAACAACAACAAAAACAGGACCTGAGTGGAATCCTACATGTAAGGAATGGGTTGGGATAAAACAAAAAAACAAAAACCTATGCAGGCCAATAGTTTATAAGATTGTTCACCCATTTAAGCCAGCTGGTCCTAAATTGCAACATCTCTAAACAGCTTATTAGAATCTTTCCAGCAAGGTCTTAGACATTCCATGAATCATGACCTTTCAATCAATAAAACACAGGGATTTCAACTTTCTGTAAAGGAATGGTTCTCTAAAAGGATCAAATGCCCATTTATCTAAACCGTATTTGGCTTATTTAAACACACTAATATTTGTCCAGTTTTCTTAGCTTCGTAGGGAGTTTTTAGTAGAGGTAAGATTTCCCACTCTCGGAATTTTGCAAATAAACAGTTTCGATGGTATGACTGTATCCATATGGATTTTGCTATGATGCTTCTGCTTCAAGTTGTCCAATTAATTACTGAATCATTTATTTGATTTGAAAGCTTATGGCTTACTTTTTTTTTTTTTTCAATTTTACTTAAGATCTATTTCTTGAGCTGTTCAGAATGAAAGTATCTCTGAAACAATGCAGACTTACCCATAGTTGTGAATGCCAGTTTTACTTAGAAGAGTTTTGTTTTTGGAGAATACAAAATCAAATCATGGTGGCAGAGATGGGGACATGGAGAGAGGCAGTAGCTGAGAACTCTAGATTCATGGAAAGAGAGGGACTAAGAACTGGTGGCCAAGAGGCAGATTTGCAGAGTGTGCCATTTGGTGGTTTAAATTATTATATATGCATGTTGGGTTTTTTGGTTTTTTTTTTAAAGAGAGCTAAAATGAATAGAGAGAAATACTATTAACTGACGGTACATGGAGAGGATTATAATCATTGTAATGAAACAAAGTACATGATTTGTTGAATGTAAAACTAATGCTCTGCACTGATAACTTTCACTCAGTTCACAATAAAAACTTTTTTAAAAAGTGAAAAAAAAAAATTGAATACGTTTACATAGGTATTTATATTTACATACACCCAAAAACACCCCAAAATCCAGAATGGTCCTTAGGTATATATTTATGGGTTAAACACAACTTCTTATTCAGTATTGACTAAGTAAAACTTCCCAACATTTAGAAAAGTTATTCTCTAATACAGAGGAAAAATATACCACAGTATCCAATGTTCTTCTCTGGTAAATGAAA